CCCTCCTGCTGTTGGTTTGGCCTGCAGGTTTAATATGAAGGTCACTTTACTGTGTGTGCGCTGCAGCAGCTGTGGGGTATAGTGTCTGCTTAGTGTTGCCTTCATGCTTCGCTTGGCAGGAAAACACTGGATTATCCACAGCTATGTTGGGAGCCAGTCTTTTTTTTTTTTTTTTTTTTTTTAAATCATGTCCTGTCCTATTTCTTCTCTGTGCACCTCGGGGGACATGCGCACGAGTAGCTGGAGCTCCCCGGCCTCCTGATTTAGCCCAGACATTATCCTGCACCGAGCCAGGTTGGGCCCGGCCAGATTCTGACTGGCCGTCACCCGGGGGATCGGTGCAGCTCTCGGATTAGCTACAAGGAATAAAACGCTGGAATCCCCCAGCGGTGGGGAGAAGGGGGGGAGCGGAGGGAGGGGTGGAGGTTTGCCACCATTTGTGAAGCGGTGGCAAAAACAAACGGCACCAGCCCGGTGCAGTGAGACGTCACACACCGCATCTTTGTTATGGCGCAAACATGAGCGAGGCCAGGGACGCGAGGTCTCACTTCCGCTCAGATGAGAATGTGCTGCTCGGCGCTGACAGCAAAGAGAATCTACTGCCTGCAAATCAAAAAGATTATTTTATTATGCCTCATGTGAATAGAAAGAAGCCCAACTCCCCTCAGCCTCCCCCGCCCCTCCCCTCCACCTTCTCCCTTCCTGTCTCCATTAGTTACATATTCTATGAAGTGTGGCAGAGACCTATATTGTACCAGTGCAAAATTCTGTTATTTCTCATTGTGGAGCTGAGATTTCGCTACAAACGGCAGCCGAGGCAGAGTGTGTGTTTGGTTTGTGATGACTCATGAGGTTCTGGGGAAACAAATGGAGAAGCAAGATCTTTTTTTTTTCTTCCTGCGACGCCTTCTGCTCCAAAGTCCAATGCAGCTGAGACTCTGTCTGCCTGAGACGCTGCGACTGTCAGGCTGGGAACTCACACCTACACCGCTCCATTAATTACATTCCTCTGCAATTAGCACCTCGTTTATACAGCTTTAATTAAGCATGAAATTATGGATCCCGCCTGTTTGAGGTTAGCATCTCATCTCCTGTTGCGAATGCTACTGTGAAATCCTTCGCATAAAATGGAGTTCTGCGCCTGATGTGTCCCTGGTGGCTGAAGAAACAGAGGCTCCGGAGAGTTTCTACATGAGAATTAGTAAAGGACAAGACCAAGGGCAGGAGGAGGGGTTCTGTGTGTGTGTGTGTGTGTGTGTGTGTGTGTGTGTGTGTGTGTATCAGAATGACTCACAGCACGGAAGAGTTTTTCTGCTATCACACTCTGTGGGGGGAATAGCTGCGGTTTTCTCCTTGTGGACATTGGAGTTGTTTGCAATGTTGCAGCTCACAACACGCAGAGTTTCAGTAAAACATTGAGAATGAAAATTCAGAAAGAGTCAAACTTTAGCTACTTGGATAGTCTATTAACGCTGCAATAGATTCTTTGTGTTTTGAATCATGATGGAAAGACTTTTCCATGACTGACAGTGGAAAACCGATTTAAAGTGTTCCTGGTTCCACAGCAATTCAGAGGGAAAGACGTAACCAGGAGCTGCTAATCAAATAACTGTTTCATTAGTTCACTAGAGCATACAGGGTTGTTTTAGCGCAAAGTTAAGAAGGAACAATGACATTTTCCTTCTTCAAAGGAAAATTGTGGTTAGCATGAGAATAAGTTACATTAATTGCCAGATGTCAGTGCAGGGATACTTTGCAGAAGAAGTGTGAAAGCTCTCATTGGCTATAATCAACCTCGTGAATATGCTGCTCCCTCTAATGGCAGAAAAACAAACTCACTGTTACAGGAAAACAGTTTCACCAGTGACTATGCTAACTAACCTTAGCATTCATGACAGGCTAAGCTGATAGGGAAAAACTGTATCACAGCAGAGAGCAAAGGGGGAAGTGGCACGTACATGTGAATGATTGACAGTGCTAAGACCCGCCTCCTGGCTCTGATTGGTTGTTCCTAATTAGCACTTAGAGAAAGCAGAAGCACTTTTTTTTCACCATTATCTGTCTCTTATTATACTATCATGACATAGTGACAGTTTCAACAAATCAAATATATTTTTGTAACAATTATGTTCAGCAGCTTTAAGTCTGACAGCGTTGAAGTTTCTTAACATTTCTGTTCTGTGGGATAAAAAAAATCTAAATTTGAATGTGTGTAAATAATGTTAGGTTTTCTATTTTGAATCACCTAAATAACAGCTTATTTATCCAGCTCATCTATCAGCTGGATGTTTGCTCTCTTCAGTTCAGAACCTCCCACACAATGAATCTAGATTCCTCTGAGGGGAAGCTTTTATGTTTGAACCAAACACTACTCTTCTATCACATAAAAACCGCTCCACTGTAAAGTGTCACGTACCTTTTTTTTTTTTTAGAAAAAAAATGAGACTTAAAGTGTTTTCACCTGCCTCTCTAAGCGAGTGTATCATTACCTAAATCATTAATTAGCGTAATTACCCTCCAGCTTGAGTGTGATGCGAAATAGATGCTTTCACGTCGCATAAAATTAAACGTTGATCCATGGGTCACATGACCTTCAGCCGCTACTACGGTATTCCTAACGGTGTGGAAAACAGGGACTTTGAACAACCTGAAAATGTTACCTGGGTTCACCTGATCACATATGAGAGCTTTCATAGGAGCAGAGGAGTAAAATGATTCATGGTTGATTCACGTCTCGATCCCTGTTTTTTTTTTTGGGGGGGGGGTGGCGTTTCGAAGCAAACGCAACCCAGTTATCATTATAAATGATTCAATGATTCTCTCCACATTTACATGGTTGGTTTGTTGGCTCGACTGTTTTCGTGTGTTTCTAAAAAGGCTTCGGTTACTCCGGGCGCCGCATATCGCAAGAAGAAACTCTCCTCATTCTCGTCTGAGTTTTAGTCGCCGCTGTTGTTCCGACACATCCATCCATTAACATCGAGTCTCTTGAGGTTAATTTTTCCCCTACGACGGTTGTTGGGTTGCTGTTACTTGTAAAATATGCAAATAATAGCAGTGGGAAAAAAACAAGTAAAAAAAAAAAAGACGTTTTGAAGTCTTTATGGAAATTTCAGGGGATGGAAGTAACCGCTACAAGCTCTGGCTTCGTTTTAATGCTGATTTAATCATCAGTGAAGCTTCGTGTGCGAGACGAGACACGAAAGGCTGCTCCATCCATGCATAAAGAAATGTATTTTTAAAAACCAACAACAGAGGAACATGACAAGTAACCATCGTGATTTAAAAAATAAAGTCTTGAACACAAAAAAATATAAATAATTGAGCTTTTCTCTGAAAAATGACAGTGGAGTCCTTTTTGATGTACTAGGAACTTTAGCTCTGTGTTTTTCTGATCAACAGTCTGTTTTTTGATCTGTGCTTATTTTTGCATGCAGTTACTTCACAGTGACGTTTAATGGGGATGCACTGATCCACATTTTTTTACTTGGATTCAGATATCTGATTAGTATCAGGCAATACCAATCCAATTTAGAAAAATAGTCCTGATTTTATTTTTTAATGTTTGTTTTTTTAACACAGACATAATTTTACTAAAATATTAATGTGTCTGATAACTTTGCACCAGTACGGCACACTTAAATACATCAATAGTTTCACAAACTTGGTTAGGCAGGTAAAAACAACACAACTGCAATCTGTTCAATCAGTCGGTGCAATTAGAAGTAAAACAGCCGATGTGAAAGAAATGATAAAGAAACTGAAACTGAAAGAAACAATGGGTTGACCACGTTGGCTAAACATGTAGAAATAAACTACAAAAAACCTTTCAAATGGTTCAGAAAGTGCAATTAGGAATTCAAAATAAAATGTAAAATATTAAACCAAGATGTCACTCAGAGACAAATCATAGAATTAGACTGAATGCAACTGATGCTAGAATAAAAAAATAAATAAAATATTGGGACCATTACAGATATTAATATTGGAGTGGTGCATCTCTACTGAACTGAAAATCAGTTTCTGAGTCATCTCAAGAACTGACAGAAAATATCAGATAAAACAGTGAATTTCTCCCCCCTGAACAGCCTGGTGAGTGATGACCAATCCCTTCATTTTCGCTTGTTGTGTCTCTCTGAAGAACAGAGAGGAAAAAGTTCCACCGTATCGACTAATGCCGAGAACACAAGAGTCCTTCTGCTGGCCGGGGGAAGGTGATGGAGTGCTGCTGATAGTAATTGAGTACTGCTGAAATCCCTGATTGGATCCTTTGAGAGAAGAGAGGAAGGACTGAAGTGTTTAACGGCTCTGCGGAGTCGGTGCCAGCTGGCAGCATTTGCATTCTGGCTCTTTTCCAGCATTTTTAATGAAAATGTGAAACAAAGAGAAAAAAAAAGTCTCGGTTTACATTTGCTTTTTTAATTAATGTGGATACTGTCTAAATTGACAGGGAGTGTGGATAGATGTGTTAACAATGACTGCAACAATGATAGATGCATATGTTAACAATTAATTATAAAACACTTAATGAATACATTTTACAAAATAAATAAATCTACAGTACCCCGTATTAATTCTAACTGCATTCATGTGGAGTTTATTTTTTCCAGCTGCTCAATGCACTATGTTGAAAAAGTTTCAACATATCTGAGAAACAAACTGGTTAAAAGATGGTCAGAGGTACAACAATATTGTGATTTGTTATGATCTTCATTTTTCTTTCTGCTATACTTTATGACCTATAAGGATTTTCCTTTTGCATATAAAACAGAATAACATTTTTCAGAAGATATCAAAACCCACAGCAATTAATGAGGTGAAGAAGCAAAGCAGATTGAACTCATTGCCTCTCCTGTAGAGACGGTCTCAGTCTGATTATGGGTGGGGAAACGGGCTCCATGGCAACGTCTATCTCCCAAAACTGGTACCTGCTTTTGTTTGAAGTTTGGGTTCATGCCTCATCCATCAGATAATGTTGGCTCCTTTCTTTTCCTTTGCAGGGCAGCGATGAGAGCGACGTGGACAAGAACAAGTGCTGCACGTTGTGCAACATGTCCTTCACCTCAGCAGTGGTGGCACAGTCTCACTACCAGGGTAAAATCCATGCCAAGAGGCTCAAACTGCTGCTGGGAGAACAGCCTGCCATCACAACTAAAGGTATGTTCTATGGTAAAAATGCTCCGAGTATAAATAATGGAGGAGCTGTGTTGTCCAAAAGTTCATCCATCTATGCAATTTTAATGTAGCTGTTCCATGTTCTCCATTTACATAGAAAATGGACAATGTCCATTTGTCATAAACCAGTGAAAGGTGCAGTTACCTGTCTCGTATTGTGATTGCATATATTACTATTAATCTGGGCTTCTATGTCAGCTTAAAGCAAATAGTCCTAGTGGATCAACTACCTGCTGACAGCGACGCTGAGAGGAGGAACTTTCTCTCTCAAGAGGTGTGGTTGACCCTGTTGCTAGGTGTGGTTGACCCTGTTGCTAGGTGTGGTTGACCCTGTTGCTAGGTGTGGTTGACCCTGTTGCTAGATGGGACTGTGATTGGTGTAAACACAAAACAAAATAAGAAAAAAAAAAAAATCCTATATTTGATTAATGCATCATACAGTCTAGACTGGATTAAAAAGTGGCTCGATGAAGAAGTTATTTATAGTTGAATATATTATCACACAGCATTGAGAATATATGCTGTGTATATATTATCACAGTATATATAAGATATGCTAATTGTCTTATTGTCACAGTAAGAAAATAATTATTGTGTTTTGTCATGGCTTTTTTCAATGCAAGTCACTTTACTACATCATCTGTTTGATATTAATGTGGACGCTCAGCAGTCAGTAATTCACTGTGATTCTTGCTGGTGCTGTTGGAACATATCATGTTGTCAGTCTATTAGTTCACCACTTTACTTCTGAAATGATGGGGAAACATTCATTATTGCCCAACATCTGGCTAAGGATCTGCTTTTCTCAAATCACTGAGTGAATTGCTCCATTTTTATCACACAAACACACACACACACACACACACACACACACACACACACTGCACAGGGTTTTCTTATGTTGTAAATGTGTTTTTACTGTCTGTTATGTTTCTCTTCGTTCTGTTTTTAGATTTAGTTTTCTTACTTTGTGTGTAAATTCCCATCTGTCACTTGCTGCTGCTGCCCACTGAAGAGAACAAAGGTTGTAGAGATCTTCTGGTTTTTCCTCGGGGTGACTGAAGGCTGGCATAATCGTGATCCACTAACAGCTGCTCACCTTTAATCTTCTTACAAATCGGCAGCTGTGGAAATAATGAGCAACGGTCACGGGGCGTGAGGGCTTCAACACGAAGCCAGAAACTCTGCAAACATTTTACTGTCAAATTGGTGTGAAAGGCAGTCACACACACATACACACACACACAGCAGTGTGTATGTGCAGAGTTTGGCCGTGAGCTTTGTTTGTTTACGAGCGCTTCCTGGCTCTCTGCTTGACCAGGTCATTTATATGCACTCCACAGCTCCATGTTTTTACTTTTTGCTCTCGGCGCAGCTGAGGCGCTGTGCGGACCGATAGGGCGGTGCGCGTTGATGGTGGTGTTTATCTGAGCTCATGCATTGTTTAGCCGTCCTAAATGTGTTCATTTATTTCTGTGGTAAGACTGAATCTACTTAACAGAGCACCAAAGTCTTGGTCAAAAACAAGGAGGAGACAAATTTTTGCTCTTATTGCACAACCGCTGAAGAATTTTCACTTCAAAGTGAAGCACAAGATAAAAACAAACAAACAAAAAAAAACGCTGTATCTTTAGACCAGAAGAGGTTATTGTATGCTTGCTTTTTTTTTCTTTTAAAGAAAGAAGCACATTAAGAAATGCATTCCTAAATGAAACCATGCAGAAATCCCTAGCCAGTGTTTTCTCGGGTCATGTGCTGCGTTCACAGCCTGCCGTTAATTCACCTGAGGGCTCTGTTCATTTTTGTCCCGGGGCTCTGCATCGATCTCTCAGCTTCTCTTTAAATCTACTCGGCAGCTTGAAATATTTATGCTCTCAGGCAGTGATTGAACCAGAAGTTGATGCAGAAACAGGGGGTTTGCTGTTTTTTCTCGTTGCAGAGTTTGTGTTGAATTAATTTATCTGGTACTATAGGGCCAAACTGTCCTTAATTTTGCATGTTCCTATGCATGTTGAGAGGATTGAAAAAACTGGAACGAAACCACAATTTGAAACTTTGATTTATTCTTTCAAACTGGTCTTTCTTTGCCGTGAAAGAAGTATGTAACCGTGACGTCCTACACAGCTAAAATATTAAGAACCTGACATTATGCTTGCAAATAGTTCATAGCTAGATCCTGAATGAGAGGCATATGGAGTTTTGTTAATATAAGGAGATGCAGTGATGCAACTGCCATGATAGTTCTTGTCAAGCTGATGTTTGCTTTAGGAGTTACTGTTAAGTTATTAGCATGATCCCTTTCAGTAAAACTACATCTGTTTGTGAGTGTTATCAATAGTTTATTTGTATAACACGTGTCCGAAACAAGGCAGTTCAAAGTGCTTAAAAGTGCATTAAAAACACAAAACTACAAGGCTCTGTGGTGGCGCATTGGTAGGAGCCTGAGTTCTTGGCGCAATTGTCACAAGTTCAATTCCCGGTTTGATGACCTTCGCTGCATGTCTTCTCTCTCATTGCCCACTTTCCTGTCTGACCACTCTCAAATAAAGGCCACTAGCGCTGACAAAACCTTTAGAAAAAAGCATACAAAATAATAAAAGACTCCATACAGTAAACCAGGAAACATTACATTTTAAGTGCATCAAAATGTTGGTCAATGTTTTATCTCTCTTATTTCATTTATGATGACATCAGAGGAGTAGTTCTCGTCTTGCCTTGTGTTGACACTCAACAAATACTCATCAGACAACACTAGGATACATGAGTGTCAAAGAAACTGAACAAATTTAAAGGGGCGGTATTATCTAAAATTTTTTTTCTTTTTTTTTTTTTAGCTTTGCATTATGTTATATTTCTTCATCAGAAACATACTTTTACTGCCTTGATTCTTTCATGCATTTTTGAGAAATCCTATAATCTCCCGTGGCAACCATTCAGCCGCGCAAAATGCCTGGGTGGACATGGCTCCGCCTTTCAGACGCAGCTCCTCCTCTCAGGCTATATCTGTTAGAAAGCAAATGAGGACAATATGATTCCTGTGTACACGTCAACCTGAACTGCATAACCAAGATATTTCTGATATGCTCTATTGGGAAAAAAAAACAAAAAACGGCCAGTATTCTGTGAACCATATGTAGAGGTCTGCTGTAATGCATATATTTATAGAAAGCAAAACAAATGCCTGCTGAGACATAACAGAGATGTTGTAGAGTGGAGGTTCTCCAATCCAGGCCTCAAGGGAACGTGTCCTGCAACTTTTAGATGCGTCTCTGCTTCAACACACGAGTCAAATAATGAGGTACCCAGCAGGACTCTGGAGAACTTGACTAGATACTGAGGAGGTAATTAAATCATTTTATTCAGGTGTGTAGGGACACATCATAAGTTGAGGCCCGGATTTGAAGACCCCTGCTGTAGAGCCTAAGGCAGACGTCAACATCAGGTTTCTCTGTTCTCATTGATGAAATATGCCAGAAACACACCAGGATTCTCCCATTTTAGCATTGCAAATGTTCAGATATGCAGCACATTGTTGTGTTTCCTAGAGTTAGAGTGGCTCTGAATGCTGTGTGATGATGTAGTGCTCTGACAGCACACTATGCTCTTTGCTCTCCCTGCCATGTGTCAGTGACAGACACAGTCATTAAGGATGCCATCTGTGGTCAATGGTTCAGAACAGGAGAAGCACCAGCTCAGCCAAAAAAAAGGGGGGGGGTTGGTTCAGTCATCCATTGAGCTGACACCCTGCTACCGGGGCCTCTCCCCCCAAACAAATATGAAAAACGAGGGAAAAACTTTTACGCTTGCAAGTGTTTTTCACTTTTTCTCACCAGGGTTTCTACAGCCTTGAATGTGACATCTGCAGTGTCCACCACCGTCACCATTAAGTACAAAGTTTAACATCTATTTAATAATTTTACCCCATTACGAAGCCATATACACAGTTAATTTTTACCGTCAGAAACAAAAGGCTTTAAGGTTTTATCAGTAAAATGTTAAATGTGTTGCTCTTTGCTAATGGGAACTAAAACAACTGCAGCCTCCTGGACAGAGCTGGTTTTATGCTCTGAAACTGTTAATCAAAGCTCTGCTGTTGTTCAGGCACCCAGACACGTCCTGGTGGATAAATCCAACACACCTGGAGCTCTGGGATATTGATTACTACATAAACAACGTCAGCAGGTAGTCCTGTTGATCTGGTCTTTTGGGTCTAACTCTTCCTGCCAGCTGGCACCAAAAACACAACCCCACACATTTTAAATACTCTTATAATGGACACTACCAATACAACACAACACAGGTGGTTTAGTTAAAGCCTTGCTGGATGCCAGTAAGATAAAAGCAGCTCCAGAACTTAGACTATTCTACATAACATCAGCCACATGAATGTATATAAATGTTACTTTCACTTTTATTTTTAATTTCATTACTCTGTAGGGAACCAGGGAACTCAACTGTTGAGTGTAGGGATGGGAACTGATGAGTTTGACACCGCTTCCATTATTGATTCTCATTGAGAAATAAACTCTTTAATTCAAAATATGCACCATGTTGTATTTGATTCAAACAAAATTAAAGCTTCCTTAAACCATAACACTCCCACTTTCTGATGCTCAGTAGGACTCCGATCAGGACTTGTAGAAGGCCAGTTCAAACCTGTCCAATCTTTTGCTCTTAGCCATTGTTTGTTTCCAGCTGTGTGTTGGGTCATTAACCTGTAAGAAGACGTAAGTGAGACCAGTTTCTAATGACAAGCAGCACATTTCTCTCCAGAATGCCTTGATGGTCTTGAGCTTTCATGGTACCCTGGACAGATTTAAGACACCATGTGCCAGATGAAGCAAAGCAGCCCCAGAATGAAAATATGTTTCACAACAGGGACAGTGTGCGCACGCATGTGTGTGTGTTTTTTTCTTGGTAGGCTACATTTTTGAATATGTGAACACTGAGCTGATGTGACTTGCTAAAAAGCTTCAGTTGGTCTCATCTCCCAAAGGACATTCTCCTAGAAGCTTTGTAACTTCTCAGTATGCATAGTGGCAAATTCCACTCTCACTTTTTTGTGATTTGCTTTCAACAGCAGTGTTCTCCTTTACCTCAGACAAACAACGAATGGTGCAATCTGAACTGACGTGCCTCAGAGTTCACCTTTCATTTGTGTGGAGGTTGTTCTGCCTCTTTGGTTGCCATTCGTGTTCTTTTCAATTTGTTCTCAAATTAGGGTGGGGGGTGTTTGTTGGGTGCTAGTTTGAAGGCTGGAGCTATAACAACGTCAGTTTTTTGTTTTCATACAGCCATCAGGAGCCATTTAGTAATATTAACCATGACGAAAGACTATGTCCAAATCCAAATTTATGTAATGCAGCAAATAGAGATTTCCAATTAACCTTGTCAAACGTCTTCTCTGCAGCTAATAAAACAATTAAACTGGATTTATTTTTGGGCGTTGCTGTAGTTTATCAGATTGATTAGTCTGTTTTTTTTTTTATATTTATAGGACATTTATGTATGCATGGTGGGACGCTTGAACTCAATATTGATTAGGCCAAACTGGACCTCAGTAACTCCAGGCCTTGCTATATTGCGTTTTATTTATTTATTTATTTATTTATTTATTTATTTATTTATTTATTTATTTATTTATTTATTTATTTTATAGTATTTACATACCATCATAGTCTAGGATTAGATTGGCAAACACCCTCTGAAGGCACCTCTGTTCCTCTGGGTTGCCCCTCCATCTGGTAGCATAATAAACTGCAGCTTCCCCTTGCTGTTGTTTAAACATGTAGTATAAAGTGGCCAGGGACTTCTGATCCATAGAGTTTAATGCAGCCGGTGCAGTGTTGAGCTAAAACCATCTGCTTCTCGGGTGGGGAGCAGTCCTGCATTCTGAATGGAGTTGGACCCTCCCTGAAGGCTCGGCGGGTCGCTACAACAGCACAGCTCTAATGACAAGCATCATGTTTTCATTTCTTCCTTGTCTTGATGGGCTGTCAGGTTTTGTCTATGACTCTAGACGGTCATCTTCCAGACGCATCTCATATTAAGAGCCTTCATCTTCACACCCAAATGTGAGAAACTGCAGGTTAGAAACAAACTGTTGCAATAGACAAGTAGAGTTGACTGGGAATACATCTGATTTAAAATGGTGATACTTACTTGGGGATTTGCATAAGTAATTTCTTCCAAGTCACGTTTCAAGCGATTTAGGTCAGAGTTTATGTCAATTATTATTTGTGCAACTTAATTCTACCTGGAGTTTTAAACTCTAGTTGGCATCTCTGTATTTATTCATTCTTTTCTTTATGACTGTTTTACTCTGAGTTGGATCAGGACTTAAATGGCTATGAGGTCAACTTAACCAAATGACCTCAGATGGACCTTTCTAGAACTCTGAGCGATGACTAATGGAGGAGAGGGGATCGCTTTTTTTCACACCTTCATTTAAAAACTAGATTTTATGTTTTGCCTTTGACAAAAAGTAAAATGAGTTCCCTCTGACTCCTTACAGAGGAAAGCTGTTGTCCAGAGGTGGCTGGATCCTCTTCAGATTTTCTGCTACACACTATAAGCTAAAATAAGCTTTTGGAAAACACTTTTACAGAACACACACCTGTTTGGTAGCAGACTTCAGTGTTTTCATCATTATCCTGTAAAGCATAGGTGCTGAATTGAGGTTCCACTGTAAAAACACGTGAAATATGAACAGTCCTTACAGCTGCTTGCAGGAGTATTGAGACAGAGACAGTTACCATCCACAAGCAATGAAAAGGATGACTGTTATATTCCACTTTAATGCTAGAAGACAGAACCCCTGAATTTGCTGGTTTTGTGCCGTTATTTTCAACACTTTTAGGCCAATATCACATTTCTTTGCTTAGATATCTTCACCTTTACTTCACCTTACCTATTAAATATAAATAATGATGTGATAGTGGCAGTAGAAACCTACAAGACTGCCAGTCAGTGACTCTTTAAGATGGATGGGTGGGTGTGTCGGTGTCGGTGCTGGGAAAAGGTTGAATGGATATATTAGTTATTTGAAAAACTATCTTCTAATGTAATTGTTATTATCCTGGGTTGGGTCATATGAAAGCCTCTTGGTGTGCAACCAGGTGCAGGCGATGCAGACAGGACGATTCAGTTCAATGCATCAGTTTTTAAAGATATAGTAGGACGTTCTGAGAAAACTGTGGACTTTGAGTTTGAACAAGCACGCCTGACGGCTCCTCCCTCACGGAGGCAGTCCAGAACCTGGAACATCAGGGTGTTTCTCCGCCATCAGCACTTCTGCAGCACACCGGCAACCGGGTGTGAGCAGTGCATGGCACAAGCATGATTGACACTGCTAAGACATTCCTCCTGGCTCTGATTTGTTGTTTCTGATCAAGACTGGTGTATTTCCGCATATTGCAGTAGGATCACTGGGGGGAGCTGGGAGTGATTCATTTAATTAAATTTTTTTAACAGATTACCTGTCATTTTATACTCATTCTCCAAAAATGAGCCCTCATAGAGGGATAATATCAGTGCTGTTGCAGGTAAACCTGTTTTACATGAACAACTTCCAAATCATCCATTTTGAGTGAGGGCGGCGCTTCACATTCAGGCCAAATTACAAAAATTTGGAGGTGAACATCCAGGCGCTGCAACAGGAAGTGAGGTCAAAGCACAAAAGTGCTATTAGTGCGCCCCTCTCCCCCACTCCCCTCTCACACCCGGTTTAAACTGTAAATCTACCTTAAAATAGCTTCAGCTAAAGCCTGGCTGTCTGCCAGAATTATAATACATCTGAAGTTACAGAATTATCTCAAGACTGCAGAATTCATGGTTAATAACTTTCTGTACGACTGCAAATCAAATCATGGCCTTGCAAAATATGTGCATTGTTTTACATCCACTGAACTGAAATTAGTTGTTGATGATGTGCAGCATCGTTCAAAGTTTGCTTATAAAACGAGAAGCTGTAAATATGAAACATAAAGCCTGGTTACACATTACGCTGTTGACTGCAGTAACTGTTTATGTTCTGTGATGGATTCAGTAAATATTTCCCTCCCTGTGAGTTCAGAAGAGCAGGATGTCTGTATTGTTTTCATCTGTCATCCCAGGCTGCCAGATAACTGCCAGCATGTTGCTGTTCATGATGCGTCTCATCTACAAGAGTCGTTTAAAGACTGTTGATTTCATAATACCTGAGCTAAATTGCCATGCTTTCTGGACAAGGCATTAAAGCTGCTCACTGAACCGACAGGAGGGTCTAAATGTGGTCTGACGTTGCATTAGTTATTTGAAGAGGTCGTCCTACAGCCACCGAGCCTCAGATGAGAGCTGTTCAGAACCGAGCGCCTGCTGCTGTGGGGGGAAGCTTCAGCCACGTGCTGACAGCAAAGGTTCCTCACAGACTGCTTTTTTTTCACTGGATTTGCCATTTTGAAATGTTGGCTGGTGTAATGGTACGTAATGGGACAGCACTAAATGTTGACTTAGGGTAAGCTGAGCGCTGGAGTGTTAAAACCGATTAAGCTGATAGTGCCATTTTGTATCAGGAGCCCAGGGCGGTGTTTGGGGTTAATGCCGTCATCCATGCATGAAAGTACAAACGGCCCCGCCTTGAGAAGAACGGGCTATTTCCTCCGTTTGCCAAGGAGAATTTAGCTTCTCCTCTTCAGGCATCTAATGAAGATAACAGCTTGTTATTCTGAGGGCTCCAATCAGGGCCGCGGCCGCCGTTTCAGCGTTGCAGATCAGAGCTCGTTAAATCCTTTGCGTTGTTCCCTTTCTGCTTGCTAAGGCAAACTTGTGTTTTCACCCCTGATGGCTGGCTGTGTTCTTGTATTTTTAGAAAACTCGGAAGCATAAGTTGCTGTAAGGCAGCTTGTAGCTCAGCTTCTTATTTAGTGTGTTGATGTTTTGGTAGAGGACTCAAACCACTTTGCATCCCAGGAAGCAATGTGTGAATGGTCCATGGATGTCTAAGTTTAAAATGGTATATGGTGTAAACAGGATGATGTGGTTTTTTTGTTTTACATCATTTTTATCCATCAAGATGGATAAAATGTCTCTGTCTGTCTGTCATGAATGTATTTTATACTATTCTCTGTTTTTGGCCATAAAATAGTTTTTTCTGAAATTTTTTTTAGTGAAATCACAATTGAAAAACTATGAAAGACATTCAAACTGAATTGAATGGAGTTGTTGGCATATTTTTTTTGACCCTATAATTGTTTTTTCAGTTTACGTCTAAGATTTGATTATTTGTCAGATTATTATGCATCTGCCTTTCATTTTTTGTGGGGGAAAAAATCAATGCTCTTATATTACAAACATCACAGAAATGACACAATTATAAAACTTAATCTCGTATTATGCTTCACCTACCAAGGGAAACATGACGGATGAAGCTGATCTTGGGTTTTTCTGGCTGTCTGACTAATTTGGTTAAGAATTATCTGACCGCCTCGTAGAAGATTGGAATGTCCAGATGGTCACATGATCATTACATAAAAGTAACGTCCCTGGTCGTGTTGCAGCAGGACACTGTGAACTCCACATCATTATTGCACAGGGACTTTTCAGAATGAGATCCATGAAAGGAGTTGCTGTTCAATGAAATTCAACTTTGTTTTCTTTTGATGAAATCTCTGCAACAAACGTTCTACAAAACACCAGCATGCATGGCAAAATAGGAAACAATAGACCTAACATACAGACCTAAATCAGCCTGAGATTGATGCGTCGATAAATAAGATTTACCTGTAGCCTCACTGCAGGTAAAGCCTTTTCTTTAAACTTGCTGACCAAATTGTTTATCATCACGTTTGTTTCTTTCCTGGTTTTCCTATCAGAGGCATCCCACAGTCCTGTAAAGAACTCCCCAGAAACTTCTCCCATGATGTCACCGCGACAGCGCCGCGACTCAGACCGATACTGCCAGCTATGCAACGCCTGGTTCAACAACCCCGGCATGGCTCAGCAGCATTACGACGGGAAGAAGCACAAGAAGAACGCCACTAGAGCCGATCTGCTGGAGCAGCTGGGGCAGACCCTGGACATGGGGGAAATGAAAGGTACGGACGCCTCTCCAAATTCTTAAATACGAGTACAAAAACGGTTCAGGGTCACACACTAGAAAAACTTCAATTTAAGGTCCATGATCCCACAGAAATGCTGCCAAACAAATCTACATACCTGTTTATGAAAAAAAAGATGTATATTTCTTTGTCCAACTTTTCCTTTCAGTGCACAGACACAGATTTTAGTTTTGCAAGTCACAAAATATAAATATAAGTAACCACGTTCTTTTATCAGAGGTTTTGCTCCAAAGATGACAACTTCTGTCCCGTCAGAATTTAAACGAAGAAGGTTTAGTGTCATTAAGGTTTTTCTATCTTCAAGAGATGCCTGATAAATTGATTTATCAGATGCTATGGATGGATATGGTGGAGAACCATCATTATAACGGTAGAAGTTTATCCCATGTTGTCTGATGGTTTTTCATGTTGCAAATATAAATAAAGAATTGGTCCAAGCGTAGAGTCCTGTGGTACTTAACAAGTAACCCTGGAGTATGAAGACGATTTATTATTTATATGAACAACCTGGAATCTGTCTCACATATCATCAATGTAAACCACATTGTTTTCAGGACATCGTCTTCCTAAAGAAAAGCAAAGTTATTACCATCGTACGCTCAGGTTATTCCATTTTCAAATGATTTTTTTTTTTATGCTTTGCCCATAATCTCGTAAATCTAAAAAACTGCATAGGCTTCATCATACTAAAAAAAAATCCATAGTTATTCCATTCGTAGGTTTTACCTTCTCAACCCTTATTACATTTTTGGTTACTGAAATGGTTGTAAATAAAATCTTTTCCCATATGGATTCTACTCTCTAGCAGAAAATCTTCAGGCGCTCTGGAGTTCTGCAGTTTCTAAACTAAATTATATCTGAGAACCTGTAACTGCTTCAGATCTTGCTGATTGGCCAAACGTTTGCTCCAAACATGCAGATGAGCATAGTTTTACGTTTGTGCCCGGCTAATTTCCACCTCATCTGTTTTCCATTTCGCTGTTAAGGAAGGTGTTTTTATAAATATTAATGATCCATCTAATCAGACACCAAATAGAAAGCCAACCAGCGTAAAGCGTCACATGTGGCTCATCAGGTTGTGCTTCAAGCTGGGAGTGATAAATTACCATCAAATCAATTCCTCCACTGAAAACATGTTGGCTGTGTGATCCAGAAGGGCCCATAAACCTGGAGCCCGTCTCACTGTAAATCTGAACTCTGACTTGTGCTGCCACTGTCAGTGGGACTTCTTGGACTTCCACCAGCCTGACAGGCTATTGCTGTTTTACAAGGGAGGAACAGAATTGCCCTTGTTGCCTGTTTCCTGGTCACTGTGCGTCAATAAGAGTTTCACAAAATCATTTATGCCGGTGAAGGATGAGAGGAGAGCAGGAACTGCTCTAAACCGATCAGGCTCACGCTCATTAGTTAAGACTTGGTTCGATTGTACAGTATCCTGTCTGTGAATCTTCAGCTTCCTGACTAACTGGCAGTAACAGGTGAGGGGTCTTCCTCCTATCCTGGTCCCCCAGGGGCCTGTTCTCTCCCCATTCCTTTTCGCTCATAATTGACTGCAGCTCAGATTAACCTTCTTTGAAACTCCTGCCGTACAGAAGACACCACTGCAATTGGTCTCATCTACAAACAATAGCTGCGTTTCAAAATTGCGGAAAATGATATTCTGAAAATAAATTTGCTTGATAGAAATGTGGCAGTTAAAAAAAAAACTTTTTTCATTAGGATGAGGAGGTTTTTCAGCTGTATCAAAGTAGATGTAATTCACAAAACTGCAATGGAAACATTTTGCGCGTCACACCAGTCACATGATCAACAGCCGGATGTTACTACTGATGAAAACGAAGAAGAAGAATATGACAGGAAGTGGTAGAAGGATGACAGTTTGCTTTAGTTTTTTTCAGTCAGTGTGCAGCTGGCTCCTCCAGATCTCTCACAGCATCACAGTTCATAAAAAGTTGAGTCGTTTGAATCCACAGCTTTTCTGTTAAATCACACTGCAATTTCCCCAAATCACTGCATAAGTCGCCTCTTTCAAGAATAAGGGGTTTGTCTCTCCAACAACTGAATAATGTCTGCTCTGATTGGCCATGGCGGCATTATGAATATATTTCATGTATCTGTTTGCATCCATCGCTGCCGTGATTTTTAATAACTCATCACGTGAACAAGCTTATTCACGTGATTTTAATTTAATTTCTAAAAACTGAGACACCTGCATCAGTTCTGCTCATTTCTCTCTGCCTTGCTCAGCTACATGGATGTCCTCCTGGACCTGCTACACCAGGTGTGGGCAATTACTTTTCCAGAGGGCCCACATTAAAAACGTCAGCACCTTAATTTGATTAATTAATAATTTTAACACTGTCTCAATTTTTGTGCATGCAAAAGTCCTGAGTCAGAGCGTTGAATTCACGTGTTTCTGATATGCCTGTAAATCTGATGCAGAAGCAACATCAGCCAGCAGCAATAGAGGAACAATGTGCTTCTCTTGGGTTATATTTTTGCTTCAATAAACAATCTGATGGGACACGGGAAAAGGCTACAGCGTCCAAAATGTAAAAAAAAAAAAAACAGTTCTTCTACCACCTCTCTACTTTCCTTCCTACCTTACTTCGTTCGATGTTCTCTGTTGACTCTTGAACGAGTTAAAATAAAAACAACTCATAGAGGTAGCCTAATTTTGCCGTATTTAGTTGATATCGCTGTAAAAATGGTCATAAGGTGCTGCACATCGGTTTGCGCGCCATGATGACATAGTCATATAAATTATATGGCATGAATCCAGTGATTTGATCAAATCGCCAAACATGTCAGGGAGGAGAGGGGATTATTTGCTATTATTTCCAAGTTTTGTAAATACAGCTGTCTAGCAGCCTCGACTAGGTGTGCAACTTCTACAGACAGGTTTTGCGACTGGAACAAGTCAGAAGCCAAGACGATGCTGGCAAAAGCAACTTGACAAAACCATCAACATGAGGTCACTGCAAAGGCTGCACAGTACACTCTTGTCAGAAACCTGCAGAAAGTCCAACAGCCTACACAGTTAAACGGCTCCTTTGTAAAGAATAAAAGGTTGTTGAATCGTTTGGTTATCTGAGCTGGAAGCTGAACCCCCAGACGGCCTTTTCATCGAGCCCACGACCTGCCCGCCACTTTCCCGTCTTTGTCTTTCTTCTCCATCTCCTGTTTCTCCTGCCATCAACTTTCTGCTCGGCAGTACCGCGGCGCTAAACTCCGTCTTTATGGAAGCTGATGCATATTTCATCCTATGGCAACATTCGGTGTCAGATTGCACATTTCCTCTGCTATCTGAGAGGCGTGTGAGGACAGCAGCGGGGTGTCAGAGAAAGCGTACGGCCGAGCAGAACGCAAACGAGAGAGGAGCGAAAAATGGGGAGAGATGGAAGGGAAGAATGATGACGAGTGCACTGCATGATGGGAAAGAGATTTTCTTCATCCAACATTCCCTCCTTCTTCCCTTCTCGGTGCTGTCTGCCGGACTGAGCACGCTGTGGCTAATTCTCCTCTCCACATGCAGACGCTGCTGATTTTTCCTGATGGGGATGATTTGCCTCTTCAGTCCTAATCAGCGCACTGCAGAAACACATCTTACCAAGTGTTTTTGTCTTACACACGATCATAATCCCGTTTGACATCACTCTGATGTATAAAACTGAGTCTGGTCTGGATATTCAGATATTATCTTTTCTACTTTGAACACAGACTTTCTCCTAAAATACTTTCTTTTGCAATGCAGAATAGTGTGCGTTTCTCTGGTCAGCCAGTTCGGATAAAGCAGATCATGTGTTTTATGTGTGTGTGGTGTAACATTGCTGACAGGCTGCCTTTATCGTTCTGTGTGCCCAGAACACGTCCAACAACACAAACATGCTACCTGCCAAGTCTGGGACAGGATGACAGAGCCGTGTTGGCAGACCTGCTGCTGTGGTTCTGCTTGGTCCCATGTTGGCACTGACCTTGGCCCCGTCACCATGGAAACTCTGTTAACTCTGTTCCATCCTGCACTAACTTTTTCTTTGCTTTCTCCACACACTTAGAATACTGATGGACAAAATCTGTGGAATGGATGATCTTTACGCTCGGTCAGGTTCTAGTTATCCTTCCCAATCGCCCCAACACATGAACACAAATCCAGTTTCGTCATTGAACATTAAAACAGAGACAGATTTTATTCCAAAGTTTATTCAGAAATCACTTCATCCCAACACAGCGACATCTTCAAACAAATGGTTTATTTGGTGTAATGTCACAGTAAATATGATTTCACTTGAGACATAATGTTGTTTTGGTTGGGAGGAATATCGATGTTGAAAACAAAAAGGGTTGAAAAAACAATGACTGGTGCAAAGTTATTTTATGTTTTTGTCACAATTTAGTGTCAAGCAGTTAAAAATATTGCATCTGACTTCAAAATTGGATGCCTGGTTTGACATGACATTTACGTCGAGTCTGAAGGCGTCATAAGAGCACTTCCTGTAAAACATGGCCTCATCATTGTGATGCTATATTTTTAACACCTTAGCATCTTTTTAGTGATGTGTATAGTTATCTCAGTCAGTATCACCTGTGGAGAATGTAGAACAGTATTTTAAGCCAGCAATTAACAAAAGGCTTATTTCCAAGTCAGTCATGTTCCATATCTGACAGATTAAAAAAGAAATACAATAAAAATGAACAATTTCAGTCTCTCTGTTTCTCTTTCCCCATGTAACTCAGTAACAACGCCTGTTCTGGGGAATGTTCTTTCAACTTGGCTCGTACGCAGCATTACTGGATGGAGAAATACACAATGTTTTTGCCCCCCAAGTATGTTTGTTTATTGGACACAGACAACATGAATGTTTCCGTATAGTTTGACTGATGGGGAGTTTCAAATGCAGAGTTTCTCATATCTGCATTTGTTTTTAAAAGTAGCTATGAAACAGCTCGTGTACTTGTGGCCTTTTATTGTCACACTT